CAGATACTCTACAGCATGAATGACTAACACAATTAAAACTAACATTCCACAACATCTTATGCTGTTTATACACGGCAAAAGACACAGTTTATTAGTTGCTCCACACACCTTCTTCCTATTTTAATGCTTTTCATTTACCCATCTTCTCAGCATTTAACTGTTCTATTTTGCTATGTAGGGTGCCTAGGAATTGGATAGAACTTGTAGGGTCCAGCGAATACCTCAATCTTTGCACACAAAGATCTTCAAGACCCAACCTGATACTCCCTATGTTCCCTTCCATAGAACTGGGGAAAGTTCTACCACTGAGTACTTAGAAAGTTCCCAACTTCAACACTTACAGCTGATTAACACCTTCAGCAAAGTGGCAGGATACAAGATCAACTCAAGAAAATCAGTAGCCCTACTATATACAGACCATAACATGGCTGAGAAAGATAACAGAGAAACATCACCCTCTACAATTGCCACAGACAACACAAAATACCTTGGGGTAATGCTAACCACACAAGTGAAAGACCTGTATCGCAAGAACTTTGAGGTTTTAAAGAAAGAAATTAAAGAAGACACCAGAAACTTGAAAGATCTCCCATGCTCTTGGATAGCTAAGATCAATGTAGTAAAAATGGTAATCCTGCCAAAAGCAATCTACAGACTCAATGCAATCCCCATCAAAATTCCAGCACAATTCTTCACAGACCTTGAAAGAACAACAATTAATTTTGTGTGGAAAAACAAAAGACCCAGGATAGCCAAGACAACCCTGCTCAACAAAGCAACATCTGGAGGCATCACCATTCCTGACTTGAAGCTCTATTATAGAAATATAGTCTTGAAAACACCTTGGTATTAGCACAAAAATAGATGGTAGAGCAATAGAATCCAATTGAACACTCTGAGATTAATCCACACACCTATGAACAGCTAATTTTCGACAAAGAAGCTGAATTATACAATGGAAAAAAGACAGCATCTTCAACAAATGGTTCTGGCATAACTGGATATTGGCATGTAGAAGACTGCAGATAGATCCATGTCTATCACCATGCACAAAACTTAAGTCCAAATGGATCAAAGACCTCAACATAAATCCAGCCACACTGAACCTGTTAGAAGAGAAAGTAGGAGGTACCCTGTAATAAATTGGTACAGGAGATTGATTCCTGATCATAACACCAGTAGCACAAACACTAAGATCGACAATTAATAAAAGGGACCTCCTGAAACTGAGTAGCTTCTGTAAGACAAAGGACACAGTCAACAAGACAAAAAGGCATCCCACAGATTGGAAAAAGATATTCACTAACCCCACATCTGACAGAGGACTGATCTCCAAAATTTACAAAGAACTCAAGAAGCAAGTCTCCAAAACACCAAAGGATCCAATTAAAAAGTGGGGGACTGAACTAAATAGAGAATTCTCAATAGAGGAGGCTAAAATGGCTGAGAGACACTTGGGAAAGTGCTCAACATCCTTAGCCATTAGGGAAATACAAATCAAAACAACTCTCAGATATCATCTTACTCCTGTCAGAGTGGCTAAAATCAAAAACACCAATGATAGCTTATGCTGGAGAGGATGTGGAGAAAGGGGAACAGTCCTCCATTGCTGGTGGGAGTGCAAACTTGTACAGCCACTTTGGAAATCAGTATGGAGATTCCTCAGGAAAATGGGAATCAGTCTAGGCATATACCGAAAAGATTCCCATTCATACAACAAGGATGTCTGTTCCACTATGTTCATAGTAGCACTATTTGTAATAGCTAGATTCTGGAAGCAATCTAGATGCCCCACAACTGAAGAATGGATAGGAAAAATGAGGTACATTTACACAATGGAGTACTACTTAGCGGAAAAAAAACCAACAGAATCTTGAAATTTGCAGGCAAATGGATGGCACTAGAGGAAACCATCCTGAGTGAGGTAACCCAGTCAAAAAAAGACAAACATGGTATGTACTCATTCATATATGGATTTTAGACATGGATCAGCAGAGTGTCAGCCTACAATCCCAGTGCCAGTGAGTCTGGGAAACAGGGAGGTTCCCAAGAGATATACATTATATCCCAGAGAAGTGGAAAGAGGCAAGATCTCCTGAGCAGATTGGGAACATGGCAGGAGGAGAGAGGGAACCAGGAAAAAGAGAGGGGGATAAGAGAAGTGTACAAGAAGACATGGGGTAGCAGGAAGGTTGAGTCAGGGTACGAATAGAGGAGACCAGGATGAGAGATACCATAATAGTTGGAGTCATTATAGCTTTGAGGAGAGATCTGACACTAGTGAGATTTCCAGAGATGTACAAGTATAACACCAACTTGAAAACTAAGTGATAGCGGAAAGACTACATTAATAGCCCCTACCTGATGATAAGGTTGATCACTACCTTGTATGACATCCTAGAACCTTCATTCTGTGACTTATGGAAGCAGAGACAGATACTCACAGCTAAACACTAAACTGACCCCCTGGAAACCAGTGACAGAGATGGAGGAGTGATGAGCAGGGAGGTGAAGGCCCTGCCGGTGATATCCACCAAGACAGCTGACTGGACAAGGGGGAGCTCTTGAACCCCAGACTGATGACTAAGAGGCCAACAGGGGACTGATCCAGACTCATTGAATGTAGCGTTAGTGAGGAGGCCTCAGAAAACTCTGGGGCCTTTGGTAGTAGACTAGTGTTCACCATGGCATACAAATGAACTTTGGGAAGAAACCATCCTGAACGAGGTAACTCAGTCACAAAAAGAGAAACACGGCATGTACTCTTTCATATATGGATTTTAGACATACATCTGGGGAGTGCCAGCCTACAATTCCATGGCCAGAGAGTCTGGGAAACAGAACCTTCATTCAGTGGCTGATGGAAGAAGAGGCAGACTCCCACGGCTAAGCACTGAGCTGAACTCAAGAAATCCAGTGACAGAGAGGGAGGACTGATGACCAAAGGCATTAAGACTGGGCTGGTTTAACCTCCAGAAACAGCTGACCTGGCAAGGGTTAGCTCTTGAATCCCAGACTGATGCCTAGGAATCCAGCATGGGACTGATCAAGACCCCCTGAATATGGGTGTCAGTCATGAGGCCTAGGTAATCTATTGAGCCTTGGGTAGTAGATCAGTATTTATCCTGGGTATACAAATAAATGGACTTTGGACTCCCATCCAACAATGTGAGATGTACTCTCACCCTGAACTCTTGGGGGAGGGTCCAAGCCCTACCCTGGATGAAATGACAGACTGTGGACACCCCCATGGCGGGCTTCACCCTCCCTGGGGAAATGAGGGGATATTGGGAGGGGTGGTGGGAGGGCACGGGAGGAGGGGAGGGAAGTGGAGAGGAACCTGGAATTGACATGTGAAGCAACCTTGTTTCTAATTTAAATTTAAATTTAAAAATAAAATATATATTAAAAAACTAAAAAAAGAGAAAACTCTGTGACCTTGGGTAGTAGACTAGTGTTCACCATGGCATACAAGTGAACTTTGGGAGCCCATTCCAAATAGAGGGATGCTCTCTCAGCCTGGACACAAGGGGAAGGGCCTAGGTCCTGCCCTGAACAAATTGACAGACTCTGGAGATCCCCCCAAGGAGGAGGGCCTCACCCTTCTTGGGGAATGATGTGGGGATTGGGCTGGGGGTGGGGGGGTAAGGGTGGAGCTGGTGGAGGGAGAAGGAGTGAAGCTAGAATTGACATTTGAAGCATGCACGTTTCTAATTTAAATAAAAAGCATACTTAAAAATAAATAAAATAATGAATTAAAAAATAAAGATGGGTCAGGACAGAATGACCCTTTCACCTTGGTGTCTCTGTTCCCACCCATCCTCTCGAGCTAGTTTATGTTTGTCTCAAAGGCAATGAGAGTTTGACCTCTGTTTCAGAGTCCACACCCTGTGCCCTTAATGGAGAGATTGGGAGCTATGAGGTAGGAATGCCTGGAGGCCGTTTCAGAAGCACACCAGAGGCTGGAACCATGCTCTAGGAGCTGTCCCAATAGTCCCTGACACTGCTGATGAGAGCAATCAGCACCCTGGATCACAAGGGAGAAATCAGATCTCCTGTCTATAAGGAGCCTAGTGGACAGAGTAGTCTCCCAGGACTCCTTGAGGTAAACAGGCATGACATGAGTCTAGAGCCCCAACCATCACTGCCTTCTCAGGAGGAGAATAAACCTATGCACAAGAGACCCCAGGGGCCTCCTCTTACTTTCTCGGCATTCACACTTAAAGTGCCCCCCCTTTTTTGAGACAGGGTCTCTCTGTGGCTTTGGAGGCTGTCCTGGAATTAGCTCTTTTAGACCAGTCTGGTCTCGAACTCATAGAGATCCACCTGCCTCTGCCTCTGCCTCTAGAGTGCTGGGATTAAAGGTGTGTGTCCCCAATGCCCAGTTTAAGTGGCCCTTTTTAAGCCACCCTGGAAGCAAGTTCCTGGACCAGGACTAGGACTAGCAGGTTCAGGTTAGAGAGTAACCAAGAGCTCTCCATACCATGGATCTTTCTGCCTTCACTCCCCCTGGTCCCAAGAATAGAAGACTATAAACATGGCTTTGACAAAAATCTCCCGATGACTTTGCCTCTCTGCGGGACACCTGTTCAAAATGTGCCTCATCCTCAAAAGGCTAGAAATGGTTTGAGGTACTCAGGATCCAGCTACAAAGGCCACTGAAGCACTGAGCTTGGTAATTTTTATACCAGTAAATATATGTCCAAAGCAGAAGCTGGTGGATGCTAGCAACATTTTCTACCAAGGGGAAGGTGGCTGTGGCCCAACATGGAGAGAGCCACTGTAGGCTATAGCCTGTTGTGATTGGTCCATTTCTTTCTCTGACCTCACAAAGAGCCACTGTGAGAGGAGAATGAATGCCCTGCATATAAGGCCTTGGGCTTGACTACAAGTCTGTCCCTACAGACCAGGTAGCCGGTTTCAGTTGACCTGTGGGACTCTTTCTGAGTATTGAGTAGTTGGGTTGAACACCTGTTCGAGAGCTGTGACCGTCTGACCTCATGGCCTGCTCCCCTGGAAACGAAAGCCTGAGAAAGCAATACAAAATTAAATGTAACATCGGCCACGGTGCGTTCGGGCATGTGAAACTCGCTCAGCATCGCTTCACAGGCATTCCAGTGGCGATAAAGACCATGGAGAACTCAAAGAAGCACACTCGGATCATCACGGCAGAGATGGCAACATTGCAATCATTACAACACCCGAACATTATTCGTTTATTTCAAATCATAACGACCCAGAAACATTCTTACTTTGTCACAGAATATGCTCCAGGAGGAAACCTGGCCCAGCTAATAAAGAAAGGTGGCAGGCTGCAGGAGGAAAAGGCGCAGAAACTCTTTGGTCAGATGGTGTCAGCCATCAGGTATTGCCATCATATCGATATCATACACCGAGATCTAAAGCCTCACAACATTCTTCTTGACGCAGAGGAGAATGTAAAGGTTGCCGACTTCGGTCTTGCCAGAAGATGCCGAGCTGGAACTGTGCTGCAGGGAAGGTGCGGCACTAACATCTTCAACGCACCTGAACTGGTACTGGGAGAAGGCTACGATGGGAAGAAGGCGGATGTGTGGAGTCTGGGAGTGGTGCTCTATTTTATCACCATTGGGTACCACCCCTTCAAAGGAAGCACCCGGGAAGACACTGAGGGGAATATCACCCGAGGGAATTATGTGGTTCCATCTCACGTCTCTGGGCAACTTGAAAACGTCATTCACCAAATGCTTACAGTTGTCCCAGAGAGGAGGTCCTGCATTGAAGACATTGAACAACATCCATGGGTCATGAAATGTGAAGACATCCCACGTGACACTTACCCGGATCCCAAGGTACTTGACATACTCTCTGACCTTGGGTTTGATGTCAATGTCATCTTGGAGTCTCTGCATAAGAGAAAGTATGATGAAATGATGGGGACGTACCTTATCATCAAAGAGCAGGTACGCAAGGGGATTAAGATTGACTGCAACACCTTACCCAAGCCTGCAGACCCTGACCCTACACCTCCCCCATCGCCATTATGTCGCCTAAAACGAAGAGCCAGTGAGCCCATCTTTGACGTCCACCACAGTCAACCTTCACCACAGCACAAGGCTGATATCCTGACACTTCTAGAGCGGAAATTGGCCAAAAGTGCCTCCCTGCCTCAATATTGTCCCCAGAAGAAGATCCCCCCTTGTAGCCATGACCTCTTCTCCATAACTGCAGCTATCCCATGTATAGACAACAGCATATTGGAAGAGCTGGACTCTGACATGGAAGCAGCATCTTCCCCTAAGAACATCGGGTACTTCAACAGACTGCACAAGAGAATTGGGGCTTGCCTGTCAAAATTGTGCTGCTGTTTCCTAAGGAATTCAAAGACACAAAGCTAGTCTATGTTCACCAACAGAGTGGCTCCTGAAAAATAGGTAGGAAGCAGAGTCCAATGAGGAATTGGGCAAGCAGGTATGAGAGGGTGTATAAGTGCCTTGCATTTTATTTATTCTATGTCTTTTCGTTGGAAAAATGAGGAAAAAAAACAGAAATATGTATGTATGTGGGGGTCCTCTGGGATACTCAGTTGTATTTCTACAACAGCTAGATTGAATTCTGCTACATAACATACCTCCTGTGGGAGAAATCCTGCTGTAATTCAACTACAAGTAAACAGCAAAAGACTGTGATCAGAGCTGGTGCAGGAGGCGGGGAGGGGGAAAAATTGACCAGAAAGAAAGGTGTCTAGACTTGAGATGGAAGATCAGGTAAGAAAGATGGGAAGGTTCCATGAATCTTTCTCATCCCCTTCTCCAGCTTCCCTCTGCCCCAGCCCCAAACTAACGGTAGTTCTAGGAATGAATAGATCCCTGATGTACTGACAGGTACTGACAAGGAATCCTTGTGTGCTGTGTCTCTTCAATCTTTGAACATCAGGGGTATGAACCCTTCCTCCAGAACATTCTCATACACAGTGTCAGTTTGCAGAGCTGCCACGACTTCATTAATGTGGTCCCTGTTGTGTGTAACTTGTGGGTGCAGCTCCTTCTCCTTGGGGGATGAGTGTGATCAAAGAGGGAACCCGGCAGAAACAGTGCATTGAGTAGCTGGACCTCTTGATGCATAGAACCTGCACCAGACCAGGCATCTGTTTCTACATCAGCCATTTCTCTCATCAGTGAAGATAAGACACAGTGTTGGAAGGGCACAGTATTCTCTGGTCCCATCTTGTCTTTTCTGAATGGCTACGCCTGACCATAGTGGGGGCCTTGTTTAGCCATGAACATGGGAATGGCCTATAATGTTGTACCGTCTGTGCAATCTCCCTGCTGTCCCCTCTTTCTGAGCACCTTGTCCCCTGTGACTTGCTTCCTGGGCAATTCTTCCTTTGGTATGTTCCCACATCTTCCTTCAGGACAAATGTCAGGGCCTAGGAAGATATGTGCTGGCTTATGTTCAAGGTAGTTGGGACTCACTGTCCTAGTCATCCCATGGTTTTCCATCCCCTCACTTCTCCCTTGCAGCTCCCAGTGCACGAAGTGACATGGCAGGCTGTGAGTCTCTGTCTGGAGGACAAGATGTCGCCATCTCTAAGTCAAATGCCCTCAACTCCATCATCACTACCATTTCTAGTATGGAGGTAAACAGAGGTGTGGGCCTCTCTCTTCACTGGCCTGCCCCTGCTTAGCGTGATATAGGTCATTCATTTCATTGCCTAGACATAGAATGCCTCTGAAGATGAGACTCGACAAAGGGCCACCTGAGAAGAGGTCCTGTCTTTTCAGGTGCACTCGTTATTTCTTAAATGTGAGAAATCTGGGGATCCGTGCTCTTCACCTGTGCTTCAGTCAGGGTGCTGCTGAAGACTTCTCTCAGCAGAGTGGTGGTGTGAGAGACATTGTCCATAGGGAACAGATGACGAGATAGGAAGAATGCTTGGGAATCTAGTTCCTGGTAGGGTTACTGTGGTCAAAGCACAAAGGCACTGCGTGGTTGAACTGTACAGTGCCCTGAGCCCCGTAAAGCCCTTCGACATCACAGTGTGGAGGCCACCAGGAGGCGGCCAAGCTGGGTACCCAGTGCCTGTGTATCTGCATCATGCCCAGTCTGGTGGAGATGTTTGCTGTATCACAGTACTCTCCACAGCGGCATTCCAGGAACGTGCCTCAAAGGGCAGTGGTTGCTTACTAAACATTCATCAGTTTCCCAACTCCCAGTCTTCCACATCTGAGGATCCTGGAAGGAGTCCCTGATTGGTCAGAGGGAAGCCATATGACCTATGCCCCTGCATTTCCTTGGCATTGTGATCCCAATTCTTGTGTCTCTGACTTTTATGGTCGATTGTTGCTGAGTTCATGGCTCAACAGAACAAGACTCGATTGGAAGTTTGAAGTAGAATTTCCTTACCCGAGCAAGGAATGGAGAAGACATGCTATGTCGTTGGGCATAAGGAACAAATGTCCTGACAGAATCTAATGTGACGATCTGGTATCTGGCAGAGGGACTATGGTCAAGGCTCTAAGGAGCCACCTCAAGGTCTCTCTACAGTTCAGATGGACAGAGGCACAGACTCTGACTTGTCTCCTGAGAGCAAAGTGTGGGGCATTGGCCAGGTCTGGACGGCAGCATCTGCAGGCAAGATTCTGGATACATCTTATGTCATGCTGCATGCCAAGTCCCTGGGACACCAGCCAAGCCAAGAAGGCAACGTGATTGCAGTAACACAGGATTCTCCACAGAGAGCTAAATCCATTCTCAAGAAGAGAGGGCATTGTTACAGCCATCCAAATCATCTGATGAAGAGGCAAGAAGTACTAAGAGGATGTCTTCAAGCCCTGATTCCCAAGACCAAAATAATACTGTTGTCATGGGATACTTAATGCTGGCCCTCTTTTTTCTCCCTCCATTTATTCTACCTCCAATCACCTAAAGGACAATTCCTTCCCAGGGTCACAGGAGAACCCTGTTCCAGATTCATGGGGAGACAAGTTAAGACAGAGATCTGGACCTCTGTGTCCTCACAAGTCTATATTGACATCCAGGATGTACCCAGTCTCTGGAAGGTCCTGTTCTGCCTGCAGGATGGGCCGAGCTGGGACATCGTCACCATCTAATGCAGAAGACCTTGTACCAACACACAGTCCTGCTGACAAGGCTGATTTATTTGTCTCAATATAAATATACCCCAGCATGCCCTTGTGGGGGTTGCTGTCACTATGGTGACACTAAGACAAGGACTATGGCACTGGGAGGTTGGATAAAAAGATGTTGTGAGGCCAAACTGTACCTGGGATCTAGATAGTGAAACCACTGCTCCCTTCTTAAGACCTGCTTTCTACACTGGTGTCCTCATAATGCCAGCCCTGTCCTTAAGGCAACAACTTCTTCCCTGAATGTCCTTCAGCTTTCACTCTCAGTCTTCTAGACCTGAAGAGCCTGGAGGAGGCCTCTCCAGATTCGTCAGTGAGTGGCCCTGCGACCACTGTCGCTGCATCTCATGAAGATATCTAAGATGTGGGATGTGGGCAGAGCTGGACCTTCAGTTTTAGCCATGCAACCCATTTCTCACGCCCTGCGCTGTGCCTGCTCTAGTCCTCCTGCAGCATCATGGTAGCAATTCTTCCCTCCACGGGCCCAACTCACATTCTTACCTACAAGGAGTAAGTGTGAGGATCAGGTCAGAGGTGTGATGCAAGCTTCTGGGCTGCCTTTGTGCAATGGTGTGAGCTGTTCTTTTTTTTCTGTCGACATTCAGTAAGCACGGTGATGTGCCAGGCCCTCAGTAGGTGCTGGATCCCAGGATCATTAGTCTGGTGGTCAAGCTGCCCACAAGGAGCTGGCACACTGGCAGAGTCCAGGATAATCTGGAAGACAAGGGCGGTGAGGTAAGTCCACATGAAAACAGTTCAACGGGGGGATGAACCTGAGAGGGTCCGTGGTAGGGCAGGGAGTTGGTGGAGATTGTCCCTGTGAGGAGAGCAGCGCTGGGCAGAGACTGGGACCAAAGAAGGGATGAGACAGCAGGCCGTGGGAGCAGCCATGAGACAGGCTGCCAGCCTGGATGGCTAACCTGATGTCTCACTGTGATAGTGAAGTATGTGGGCACCGAATTACTTGTAAATTACTTGTAATTTAACTTTTGATGCAATGGCTCTTGGCTCTCAGGCCCTGGTAGTGTTGGCAGTTCCAACGTGGCCAAAGGCCTGTAATATACACTCCTCTTTTGATGGTGATGGGAAAGGCAGATGAAGGAGCAGAACAATGAGAAAGACAGGAGGCAGAGGTCAGCCTGACTGGGCGACAGTGGTGGACTTCCAGCACTAAGAGGCCATGTGCCTGCTGTGGGACCCCATCATTCTTCACAAACACCAGTTATCATGCCAGGTACAACGTGTCACCAGGCAGTCCTCCTGGACCTGGGTGGTCCCTCAGACCCTGATGCTGCTTTCTGTCCCACCCAGACACTCAGTCACCTTGAGGACACCTGTCACTGTCCAGGATTTTTCTTCCTACTCTGAAAATGAGGTGCTGAGTGAGGCGGGTAGGATGGGCATCCCAAGTCCCCTCTGGTCTGACTGCTGTCACTGTGTTCTCTACAGATGTCACCAGCACTGAGTCTGACCTTCACTAAAGCAGTGAAGCATCCTAAGCTGTCCCTGATAAGGACAACCTAGGCCACCAGGGCAGAGGTCCAGTCCTTCCAGGTTCTTCCTTAAGGGTGAGAAATCTGGGAATCCATGTTCTTCATCTGGGCTTTTGCCAGGGTGCGGCAAATGACTTCTCTCAGTGGAATGGTGGCATGAGAGCAGCAAGAAGAGCCTCGCAGGCTTTCCTCCCGTAGCCAACTGTTGGTGGAGGAACGCTCAGCACCTCTGAAACTTCCTCGTTGTTGTCATCTGCCACATGGCATGCGCTGACAGAGATCTCTCAGCTCCTTGCTAGAACTCCATAGGGGACCCTTATGTTATACTTGGAGGTCAGAAAATGAGAGAGAGCAGGCAGTGTACCCGGGGTCCCTCAGAGCATGCATAGGTTGGGAGTCAGAGTCCAATATTGTCAGACTAAGAGAAGCATCATTCACCTGCCATCTGCTGTCCCTGCTTTGCCAATGTGATTATCTGGAACAAAGCTGTTCTAGTTTCATTTCCATTGCGGTGACTTTGACTTACACTTCCAGGTCACCATCCATTATCACAGCAAAGGGGAGGCACAAATGCAAAGCGGCTAGTCGTATCCTACCCATGGTCCAGAGCAGAGAGCGATAAATGCATGCATTTAAGCTTGCTTGCTCGGGCTCCGCTAGAGTTCCTGCCTCACATGTAGTCTTGGACCCAAGCTTAGGTCTCCCCACGCCAATTAAGATAATCAAATCACTCCTCTACAGACACCCTTACAGGTG